GTGGTTTCTAAAAAAACTCAATTTGACTTTCAATCTTTAGAAAAGCCCTTTAAGAACCTTAATTGGAATTAAATTATGCTTTCTCATAAGTTCCTATGTTTCTTGGCACTTATAATTTGTGTTTATATCTTTCTTTGTATGCTCATGTAATTACCATCCACCTCTCTTACAAGACTATGGACGTCAAGAGATCAGAAACCACGTCTCTTTCATCATCCATTGTATCCTAAGCTCTAGCAAAGTGCCTGGCACCTAGCGGGGACTCCATAAATATTTAATGAATGAATGAAATCTAGTTTCCTTTTGTCTGTTTCTGCTCCTGCTCCGAAGAGAAGCAGAGCCCCTAAAAGAATGGCACTTACAAAATCAGACTAACCATGGAGTCTATAGGAGAATTTCTTGCTTAGGTCCTAAAAGAGAGGCAGTTAGATCTGAACTCAGAACTCAAATGTGGGGAAGAGTATGAGTCACAGCAGACCATTACCTCCACATTCTGCAAGCTTCACCTTTAGCAATTGGGCTCTTGTTGCTCAGCATTCCCCCTATTCCATAGGGCTTACTGCAATTGGAATTATGTATTTATTTGGTGATTATTTGATTATTGTGTCTTTAGTCATGGAAGTACAATGTATAGTCTGTCTAAAAATTGTCAAAATAAGGAGACTTTTAAGATAAACACAGAACTAGGAAATTGCATTAGATAAGATAAATGAGCTGGAAAATGAGTCCATTAGGCACACTTATTTGGAGGACAATTTTTGGCCAACTTTATTTTTCAGATCTTAATTTTGCCTTGTTCTTGCATTGTCAGATTGATACAATGGTGCGTGATGCTCTGACAAGGGTTTGGAATATGTTTAACATATTGTTTAAGGGTGATGCCAGAGCAAGGCTGAGGATTTATCATTCATTCAACAAACATTTACTGAGAAATGCAGGATTACAAAAATAGAGCCCTTGCCTTAAAGAAACACATTATGGAACGTGCGTACCGACTCCCCTTACCTGTTCCTACCCCATCCTTGGTTTGCTCTTGATTCTGCAAATTAGCATTCAGTTTAGGTCAACTCTGGATTAATCCAAGGTGCCCCTGACCAGCAAAGAAATTTCCATTGGTTTTTGGCCATTCACTGTGCCTGAGACATTAGCATGAGTGAGGGGAATGTCAGTGTCTCGGACCCCCCTCGGAGGCCCCCCCCCCCGCCGAGGCTCCCCTTTCTCTGTCCCCTTGTGGAATGAGATCTAACTCCAGCTCTGAGTGAGGAAGCCCTGCCAGTGAAGGAAGGAAGTCTGAAGGGCACCCGACTGCAGGTCAGAAACCTTGGTTTCATCTTGGCCCAGCCACAAACTCACTACATAGCCTTAGGCAAGTTACTTTTCTCCCTCTGGACCTTAATCTCCTATAAGAAAAAGAAAATGACAATCTGGGTAATGATATTTAAGGTCTTTTTCAGGCTTACATTCTCACTTTCTACCCATCACTGTATGTCTAGAGTTGAAAAGCCCCAACAAACACTAAGATCCATGGTTTTTAGTTTAATAACCATCTGGTTTTGTTAAACTTAATATTTCAGTGTTTCCAAAAAACCTTTTTATCCCTTTATCAGAGGTCTGGCTGAAAACAGTTGAAGATTAATAAGCCCTAAGGTGTGAATTCTTTCAGCAAGAAGGCTTCCCCCTGGTTTTGAGGATCCTTTGGGGGGCACTCCTCTTGGATGAGCCCCAATCCGATAACAGGCAGAGGGAAAGGGCTTTGATAGTTCAGAACAGTTAACATTTATTGAGCATCTGTTAGATGTCAGGCACTGTCCTAATTGCTTTGCACGTATTACCCCATTTAATCCTCTCCGCAACAGTATGTCATTCAAACGAAAATTAAAAGAGTTCTCTTCCAACAGGCCAGCAAGGAGTAGGGTGCTTAGCATCAGGATGAAAGTGTTAAGGGAGCAATTAAGAATGCATTTTTATGAGTGCATGGCTCTGCGAGGAAATGCTGGTGTTTATTTTATTCACCAAAGGTTTTCTAAGCAGTCTTCCTGGTCCCTAAGAAAGCCACTAACCATTCCGTGTCACTGCAGCTTAAAGTCCGTGGTTCATTATAAAAGCTAATGGAGAGGAACGAGGTGGGCCCTATGAAAGAGGGGAAGCCCTGAACAAGTAGGTAGAAAAGGATGTATGTTTGGTCTGGATTTATTAGCCTAAGGGATGGTTCATATCGTTATAAATGCATGAGTAGCTTGGAAGCGTAAGCTCAGGAAAATTAATAAAAGGATTTTATTCTAATGATCAAGTCACGGATTTTGTTTGCAGGGGACTCAGAAGCCAGATTATGAGTGGCTGGAAGTGACAACTCTAAGCAAATGAAGGAAGTGCTAGAGACAACAAAGCGGAAGAGATAAGAGTTAGGGCTTGCCGTGGAGAGGAGAGCAGTGGAGGTTGCTTCAGGGTGAGGAGGGAGGTGTGCAGGAAAGGAGCAGGTGGTGCGGGGAGGGAGGGGGGAAGGGAGAGAGGGAGCTAGAGGGAGCATCCAGCACTCTCTTTAGTTGTTCTGCCAGGTCTTCCCCAGTTTCCTCAAGATCACTATTTCTCGTCTCCAGAAAAAGTTCAATCCCATTTTATTCTAAACACTGACTTTATCATAGAAAAAGAACTTCTCAAACTCAAGACCCAAAAAACAAATAATCAAGTCAAAAAATGGGCAGAAGACACGAACAGACACTTCTCCAAAGAAGACATACAAATGGCTAACAGACACATGAAAAAATGTTCGTCATCATTAGCCATCAGGGAAATTCAAATCAAAACCACATTGAGATACCACCTTACACCAGTTAGCCTGGCAAAAATTGACAGGGCAAGAAACAACAAATGTTGGCGAGGTTGTGGAGAAAGGGGAACCCTCTTACACTGTTGGTGGGAATGCAAGATGGTACAGCCACTTCGGAAAACACTGTGGAAGTTCCTCAAAAAATTAAATATAGAGCTACCCTATGACCCAGCAATTGCACTCCTGGGTATTTACCCCAAAGACACAGATGTAGTGAAAAGAAGGGCCATATGCACCCCAATGTTCATAGCAGCAATGTCCACAATAGCCAAACTGTGGAAAGAGCCGAGATGCCCTTCAACAGATGAATGGATAAAGAAGATGTGGTCCATATATACAATGGAGTATTACTCAGCCATCAGAAAGGATGAATACCCACCTTTTACATCAACATGGATGGGACTGGAGCAGATGATGCTCAGTGAAATAAGTCAAGCAGAGAAAGTCAATTACCATATGGTTTCACTTATTTGTGGAACATAAGGAATAGCAGGGAGGTCATTAGGAGAAGGTTTCACTTATTTGTGGAACATAAGGAATAGCAGGGAGGTCATTAGGAGAAGGAAGGGAAAAATGAGGAGGGAGAATCGGAGGGAGAGACGAACCATGAGAGACTATGGACTCTGAGAGACAAACTGAGGGTTTTAGAGGGGAGGGGGTGGGGGGATGGGTTAGCCTGGTGATGGGTATTAAGGAGGCCACGTACTGCGTGGAGCACTGGGTGTTACACGAAAACAATGAATCAGGGAACACTACATCAAAAACTAATGATGTATTGTATGGTGATTAACATAACATAATAAAATAAAATTAAAAAAAAAGACGGACTTGAGCTTGTTTTAATTCTATCACAGAATCAAAATGATTTCCCTCTCAGTTTTTTCTCCCCCATTAAAAAGCAGAGCCCAATTGTTCACAGCTGCCCATCCCTGATTCCTTCCCTGACCCCCCACAAAATAAAATTTATTGACCCCTTCCCATGTGCCAGACTCTGCTCCATACTATGGGGAATCTCATGGGAGCTCCCTGCCATTCTAGTGTAGGAGTCAGATAATGAGCAAAATAAAAAACGAAATGACACAACATGATAGAAGGTGGAAAGGGTCAAGAAGAACAATAAGGCAGGAAGGGTTATAAGGACTGCCGGAAGTGCCGAGGCAGCATGCGGTGTTAAAGAATATGGTCATGGAGGTCTTTGTTGAGATATAACTGAGCAAAGATGGGAAGACTTGAGGGGGTGAACTGTGAGGACATCCAAACATCCTGTGGAAAATTATTTCAGGCAGAGGGAACAGAAGAGCTGAGAGCATGGCTTGTATTTTCCAGGAACAGCAAAGAGGTCGATGTGGTTGGAGCAAAGTGGATGAATAGGAGAGGAGAGGAGAGCTGTGAGGAAAGGGGCCCATTCTGCAAGACGTTTGACTGACCATCTGTGATGAGAAGAGCCATCAAAAGGTTTTGGGCGTCTGGGTGGCTCAGTCTGCTAAGCGTCTGCCTTTGGCTCCGGTCATGATCTCGGGGTCCTGGGATCAAGCCCCTCATTGAGCCCCACCCCACATGGAGCCCAGCATCAGGATCCCTGCTCAGCAGGGAGCCTGCTTCTCCCTCTTCCTCTGCCCTTCCCCTGCTCATGCTCTCTCTCCTTCTCAAATAAATAAAATCTTAAAAAAAAAAAAAGGTTTTGCGCAGAGAAATGACACAAGAAGTCCTGACATGCCTACTTGCAAAATATTCATCAAGCACATCCACACCTCCCTGCCTCACTCATCATCCTTTCCAAAGCCCTACCATTTCTTGTGGAACTTCTTGAAAACCTCATACCTGGCTTCCACCGTTTGTTACTTACCATTTCAAAGCTGTTCTGTAGGCAGCAAGCACAGCGCTCACTGAACTGTATTACCAGCACGCCCCTGCTTATAAGGTTTCTGCAACTTCCCGCTGCACTTTGAACGAAACCTAAATTCCTCTCCACATCGCGGAGTCAGTTTCCTCCTGTTCAATTCTGCTACAGCCACATGAGCCTTCTCTCCGTCCCTCAAACTCCCGACTCTCTCTGCCTTAGGCTCTTTGTCCTTGCCCATCCCGACTATCCCTCCATCATTCTCCATCAGAGCACCTTGCTCCTTCCTTCATGACCCTTGTAAGGTTGTATCTATTCATCTGCTCACTTGTTAAGTCGTTTGTTTCTCCTGCTAGACTGTGAATTCCATGGGCCAGCGAGGGACTCCTCTGGGTCTCTTGGTCATGGTTGTCTGACGCATTGTTGTTGGCGCTCAGCAAAAAAAAAAAAGACTGAATGAGTAAAAGGAAGAGAGAGGATCATAGACAAATCCAGACTGCGGAGGGACATGAATCCATGTCTGTCTGCCGGTGTTACAGAATACTACAGACCAGAGGGCTTAAACAACAAACAACTGTTTCTCACGGTTCTGGAGGCTAGGGAGTCCAAGGTCGAGGTGCTGGCAGACCTGGTATATGGTGAGGGTCTTCTTCCTAGTTTGCAGACTACAATCTCCTGCTTGATCCTCCCATGGCTAAGAGAAAAATCATCTTTCTCATGTCTGTTCTCAGAAGGGCACAAATCCCCTTCATGATGGCTTCACCCTCATGACCTAACTCCCTCCCATAGGCCCCATCTCCTAGTACCATCACATCGGGAGTGAGGATTTCCACATACGAATTTTAGGGGGCCATAAACATTCAGTCGGTAATGATACACACGTGAATTATATTATTAGGATAGAGGAAGTCAGCTTTGTAAGTAACAAAGAACCATCATTCTATAAGCTGCTTTAAACATTCTTATAAAGGAAAGAAAGGGCAGCAGGTATAATGTGAATATTTGAAGAAGTGACATTCTTTTCCTTTGTAAAAAATGATATTTTTAATATATTCATTTCTCCTCTAATTGTTGCCGTATTTTTTTCAGTTTCCATGGGAACCTAGAGAGGGACTTACCTATTTTCCCCACCCCTTTGGGCTTCAGCAAAGGAAAATGGACCATGAGGGAGTTTTCAAGAGCTGCTTCAAACTTCGCTGTTCATCAGGTGGTTGAGGACAGCAAGCACTTGTTGGGACTTGCTCAGTACCAGATGCTGTGCTAGGCATTGAGGAAAAGGAGGGGAATGAGATCTAGTGCTTACCTGGGAGGAGAGGGGGCCGCTAAATGAATCCTTTGACTGCAGCGGATGTGATGTGACAGCCTTTGTGCAAGATGTTACGTATCTAAAGAGAGAGAGAGGTCAAGGAAGCTTTTGGAGAGACAATGCCTAAATTGTGTCTGAAAGTTGTCCTGGAGTTAGCCCAAAAAGGGATGAGAGGAAAGAGTGAGAAGAAATCTCTCATCCATTGCCAATTATTTTCCTATTTCAATTCAAAAGTATTAAGAATGGTTGGAACACACAAGGAAGAAATGGGGAAAAAATTAAAACCTCAGAAAAGTGAAAAATGCAGTCTGCCCATCGCTTATGTCCATGTGCAAAGGATGGACGTGGGTCTAGGTAAAGAAAATTCTGAACTACATAAGAAAAGGAAATCCCTAACCATTTGTGGTCATAGGTTTTCCTGGACAAAAGGGGTCAAATTGCCACCTTTAGGGTATAATAGCAAACCTCACATGCGAGAGAACCTTAGAGTATGTATGGAGTTGGAGCAGGTGTGTCATTCTGAAAAGGAGTAAGCCTGACCGTGTGATGGTTAGACTCTCCGTAACCAACAGGAGGGATGCTGAGAATACCACTGCCCATCTGGTTGCTCTAGGACTTGGGTTTCATCAGAACATGACCAGCCGTCCACAACCATTTAAAAATAAACCGAATCCTTTGTAGATATGTCTCAACAACATGAATAAGAAACATAGTCCCTAGGGACCTTCAAGCTCCCTCTTTTCTTGCTTTCGCCCTGCCACTTCTCAGACTGCAGGTGCTCCCCGCCCTCTTTCCCTAAATCTTTATGTCCTTTTTGTTACCCTCACCCATGTCATTGCCTCTTGAGGCTGCCCCCTATTATCCCAAGAATGATAGGGCTGGTCTCCCTTCCAGGGGGAGGATCCTCAAAAGCTAATTATTTTCATTTTGTCACATGCTCCTTAATAGGACCGGCAAAACTCAATTCTACTACGGATACAGAATCCTAAATGTGAGAAGGAAATTGGGGAACTTAGCACAATGCTCTTACTTTACCGAGGAGAGATCTGAGGGACGTAGAGGGAAGGCTAGAGGAACTTCTCAGGGCCAGGAACCATCTGATAGGTGAGGCCATCTGTTCATATTTTAATAGCTAAACTCCCTTGAATGAGGCTCAAAACTTAGTTTCCTGCCACTGAATTTCTGTCCCCGGAAGATTCTAGTGTGTCTCAGTGGCATCACAATGCTGCTTTAAAGATTCTCCTTATGAAGCCAGAATACATTTTTTATTTCTATTTTTATGTTTGAAAATGGTAACAACATTTTTAAGAATTGCCTTCCTTGTTGGCATTTTTATTAATTCTTTCCCCCAACTACCCAAAATAATTAAATGCATAATATGGAGCAAAATGTATAAAATCATCCAAATGCTTATTCCTGGTTATGATTTGCCGCATTAAAAACTTGCCTTGGGCGCCTGGGTGGCTCAGTTGGTTGAGCAACTGCCTTCGGCTCAGGTCATGGTCCTGGAGTCCCGGGATCGAGTCCCGCATCAGGCTCCCTGCTCAGCGGGGGGGGTCTGCTTCTCCCTCTGACCCTCTTCCCTCTCGTGCTCTCTGTCTCTCATTCTCTCCCTTTCAAATAAATAAATAAATAAAATCTTTAAAAAAAAATAAAAACTTGCCTTTAGCAAAGTAACATCTGCAGGGAGAGCGCTTAGAACAAACAATAATAATAAGGTGCCTGGCAGTGAGGTTAGAGGTTCGCATGTCTCTACTCACTCAAGCCCACAACGCTCTTGTAAACGAGGAAACCCGGTGTTTTCATTTCACGGGTAAGCAAAGGTTTGAAGAGGTTCGATTCCAAGTCAGATGGTAGAGCCAGCATCAAAGCTCAGGTATGGTCTAACTAATGTCTGACCATTTTGTTCACCCAAAGACTAAATATACTGATTCAAAGGTAGAATCATTTCATATCCCCATTCTCACTGTCTAGAGGTCATAGATGGATGCAACAAGAGGAGGCAGTTTCCGCTGTGTGTAGAGCCCTGAAAAGGATTTAATTTCGGTCGACTCTTTCCTATGGGCTGTGACAAGGCTCATTAGACAGGCTGGCTGGGATAGATCAACCAAAGTGCCACAGGGGACAGTCTCAATATTTTAACAATTCCTGCCCTGCAATTCTATCTGCAGTTTCTCCCTTTCCTCTAGCATGTGTCTGCTCAGAATCTTTTTGGAATCTTGGATCAATAGCTAAGTCGATCCTTCCTTAGCAGGTCTCATGGCCCCACTGGTCAGACACAGACACCCACACACAGACACACACACACAGACACACACACACACAGACACACACCATGATTTGCCTCTTTTGCTTCACAATTCATTGTCAGTATCTTTCTGGTTCAAGTACTGACGTAAAACTATCTTTACATACATTTCATCATTATTAAAACTCTGCTTGTCCATTAACTTTTCATTATTGTCATGATAAATAAAACAACAGTCACTATGAAGTCACCGGGCTTTAATCAGGATCCTAAGCATAATGTAATTTCTCTTGCTCTCTCCTAAGCCCATGGAGAAATCCACATAGTGCTAGCAATCACTCATTCAAGGCAACGTATTTTCCTGTAACTCCTTTGTAGACTTATTGGCTTCACCCAGTGGAGGGTCCACTAGGAAAGATTGCAGGCTTGATGGTGGCCATCCATGCTCCTGGTATTAACAATGCAAGTAGCTCTTTCATTTCTATTTCTAATTTCTCACCCAAGGTCTCAATGCTTCACTTTGAAGTGCTTTGGATACATTGCTTTTTAGACAGCTTTCAGCCAAAGCAAATTAAATTTTTTTAAAAGATTCTGTGTATGTATGTATGTATGTACGTATGTATGTATGTATTTGACAGAGAGAGAGAGAGAGAGAGAGAGCACAAGCAGGGGGAGCGGCAGGCAGAAGGAGAGGGAGCCAAAGGTTCCCCGCGGAGCAGGGAGCTGGATGCAGGGCTTGATCTCAGGACCCTGAGATCACGACCCGAGCAGAAGGCAGATGCTTAACCGACTGAGCCACCCAGGTGCCCTGCAAATTAAGTTTAAACCTAAACTCACTGTTATTCTAGAACTATGTTCAATATGGCGGTCAACAGCCACATCGAGTATATGAGATGCAGCTAGTTTGAACTAAGATGTCCTGTGAGTATAACACTTCAGCTTCAAAGACTGAGTACAAGAGGGCAAAATAGCTCATTGATGATTTATATATTAATTCACAATGAGATGATAATATTTTGTAGGCAATAATTAAATAAAACACATAATTAAAATGAATTTCACCTGTTTTTAATTTTAAAACATGGCTACTAGAAAATTTAAAATTAGGTATGTGACTTGGATATTTCTATTGGACAGTGCTGTGCTAGAAGATCAAACCTGGGAGGGGTGGAACTGTCTAACCCCATTCCTTTTTTTTTTTTTTTTTTTTGAGTGAAGGGTGATGATAATAATAGCTCATTATTGAGTCAGTTTTGCACACCTGCTATGTGGCCTGGCACATGTATTATCTCCCAGTCTTTACTGCAGTCCTATGTGGTAGGTACCGTGGTTATGCTGAAGTCTATGGAGAAGAAGTAGCTTGTCCAGTGTCATATAGCTTATGACTTGGATGCTCTGCATAGCTTTAATTCCTGTGAATGATAGAATATACAAGTACTTCCCAAGTTATACAGACCATGTGTATATCTCCACGGCTCTCTCTTACTCAGTCCACCTTTCCCTGGTAGCCATTGTACTATGGACTTCTCCCCAACTATCTTTGCCCACAATATCTGGTCTCATTTTCTTTTTGAAAAGAACATATAACCAATTAAAAAAAAAAAAAGTCATTCCTTTGGAGCAGGGACCTCTGCAATTACTGCACAATCTATTTTCTTTTCTTTTTTTTTAAAGATTTTATTTATTTATTTGAGAGAGAGAGAGAATGAGAGATAGAGAGCACGAGAGGGAAGAGGGTCAGAGGGAGAAGCAGACTCCCTGCCGAGCAGGGAGCCCGATGCGGGACTCGATCCTGGGACTCTGCACAATCTGTTTTCTTAACTAACAAAGGTAAAGGGAAACAAAGGCAAAATGGGAAGCTCTGTGATGGAAGGTGAGATTCCATTGTGCTTACAGCCGCATCCTGCAGCCGCATCCTGTCATGGTAACAGACACACGCACACACAGGCACACACATTGCAAATCCTTCTTCCCAGAATCTGTTGATATATTTTTTTATCCATTGTGTCATTTGCAAATACCTTCTCCCATTATGCAGGTTGCCTTTTAGTTTTGTTGATTGTTTCCTTTCCTGTGCAGAAGCTTTTTATTTTGATGTAGTCCCAATAGTTTATTTTTGCTTTTGTTTCCCTTGCCTCAGGAGACCTATCTAGAAAGAATTCGCTATGGCCACTATCAAAGAAGTTAGTGCATGTGTTCTCTTCTAGGGTTTGTATGGTTTCAGGTCTCACATTTAGGTCTTTAATCCATTTTGAATTTATCTTTGTGTATGGGATAAGAAAGTGGTCCAGTTTCATTCTTTTGCATATTGTTGTCCAGTTTTCCCAACACCATTTGTTGAAGAGACTGTCTTTTTTCCATTAGATTTTCCTTCTTGCTTTTTCAAAGATTAATTGACCATATAATTGTGAGCTTATTTCTGGATTTTCTATTCTGTTCTATTGATCCATCTATTTTTGTGCTGGTACCACACTGTTTTGATCACCACAGCTTTGTAATATAACTTGAAGTCCAGAATTGTGAGGCCTCCAGCTTTGCTTTTCTTTTTCAAGATTGCTTTGGCTATTTGGGGTCTTTTGTGGTTCCATGCGCATTTTAGGATTGTTTGGGAATCTGTTGATATTTGCAGTGCAGTTACATCTTGAACTTGGTCTCCAAGTTAGTTTAAAGGAGAAAATGATGCATAGGCAAACATTACGGCATCAATTTCCTTACAAAGGACAACATGGGAAAGCATCATGTTGTCTCAGAACGAACCTGACTCAGCTGATTTCTTCTCCAGCTTAGAATGGATTGTTGGTTCTGTAGCTGAATGTCAGATGGTGCTGCTTGTTTGTATGTAGGCCACAGGTTATATGAAAAGCACATCATTTTAGACACTAGAACCACACACAGCACAGTGAGATGCTCATTTCTGGAGACATCCATGAAAACTGAGAGCAAATGAGAGCAATGAAATTCACTCCTACCATCTCTTGTTACCTCTAGGACACAGTCATTTTATGGAATGGAGGGTAGAATTGCTGTTATGTATTTAAGTCATTGTTTTTCTATTTTTTTGACAAGCATATAAAATTGATTTTGTGCAAGTTAAGTAAACATGCATATTACCTTTCAGCCTCCCTGGTAAGTAATATTGGCCTCTTTTGGGTCTATCATGAATGAAGGTCCTCAGGGAGGAGATTTTTGTGATAAAGGATGTGAAGTATTTCTCTTTAGTGGGCTGGAAGAATTCATGAGTTCATTCACTATTCTTAGCACAATGTCCTCGTTGTGCCAGATGCTGTCCCAGGTGCTGAGGAGTTAGAGATGAATTAAGAGCCCATCCTGCTCTTACCTGCTCAGAAATTTCAAAGGGTTTACGCTTAAAAAAAAAAAAAAAAGCCCAAGAGCACTGTGGGTATTGTTTCCAACCCGTCCGATAATAGTTTTTTATCTCATTGTCATCATTATCATCACCATTATCATTAGAAAAAGAAGGAGGCAGAGTCTAGGAGTGCAGGGAATGTTCGAAAAAGGTTCTAGCACCTGATGGGTCCTAGTGCAGAGGGCAGTGTGGCAGAGTGGAAAGGTGTTTGAGCTTTGGAGAAGGTGTGACGCAGATATTGTGAAGACCTGAGAGAAAAAAATTTAGACTGCAAATTGCAGCTCTTTGCCTTTTAAAGCATTTCTGTTTTAAACCGCGTCGAACAAATGCAGATAGGAGAACTCATCATTAACAATGAGCTAGTGTTGATCTTATACTGATTCCTGCTCTTTTGGTAATTTTGCTGTGTAACTTTCCAAAGTTTGAAAACATTGACCTTGTCCAATTATCTCATTTTTTTAGGCTATAAAATGAAGCATAGAGAAAGGTCATTGAATTTCCTGGTTATTCACTCAGCGTTTACCTTTTTT